CTGCACCCCTCCAGGCACTCAGGCCTGGTTAAACCTCGGCAGGTCCCAACCTCGGTCGAGCAAATACTTGGTGTTTATAAGCACAAACCAAACCGAATGTGATCGGGCAGAGGACCCCTGTCTGCCAATCCCACCTCGCAGTGTACGCAGGCGGGGCGGCGCCTGGGATACCGAAGGTTCCATTAGGCTGGCTTGGGCATTGCAAGCTTCTGCCTCTCTTTCCGGGAAATGCTTGTTTCCTCTGCGGCCTGCGAAGGCTAGGTGTTGGCGAGACTGCTTTCGTGCTTTTGGCAAGACGTGCTTCTGGCGAGGCGTTGCTTCTTGCTTGTTTCGGCTCGTTTCCAGTGACGGGACTGCACTTGCACACTTGCATACTTCTGCACTGGTTCTAATGGGTCTTTAAATTGCTGTTCAGCACCCTTCAAACCTGAATTCTGGGCATGCCGCGCCGCTACGTTCTCCTCAGGCAAGGGGGCTGCGCTTCTCTGCGCTTGCGTGGTTCTGGCCTCCAGGGCCCGCAGATGCGCTTGGATTTTGGCGGTAGTGCTCTCTGACAACCTCGGCGACTTCAGGCCTGCCAATTGGTGCTTTAGCCTCTGTACGTGGTTGGCCTGGACTGCGCCCACTCTCGAAACGCTGTGACCGCTTCCTGGCCCTGACACCTCTGACAAGTCCAGACCCCTTCTTCTTGGTTCCACATCCCTTGCAGGTCCGTTTTTTGCGATTCCTTTTCGAAGCATCATCCGTGAACTCGCAAAACCCTTTGCGCAGGCTGCAGCCGTCGCGCCGCTGGGTCTGCTCGTAAGTCGCGCGCGATAGAGCTGTGTTGGCCTCTCACTGTCTGTTCGCCCTGCCGTGTACGCTGCGGTTGGCTTCTGCTCCCACTTTCTTTGCACGTTCGCTCTTCTCAGTTCTTGGCCCCATGCCAAACACGCAGCAACCTTTGGACCTTTTCGTACTGGGGCGCGTCGAACGGTCGATCGCCGGGTCACGCTGGTTGCAAAATCAGCCTTCATTTGTTTAAGTACCATGGCTGTCACAAGCCGCCACTTTTCCTCCGCGCAGAATCAAGCAACACGCAGCTGGGCGGTTGCTTCCGAATCTGCGTTGGCTGTCAAGCCACTGTGTCCTCTGCAATGGCATATGGCACCTGCTGGCATGCTTGGACGCCCATTCTGGAGCACGCAACTTGTTGACGTGGAATTTCACTGTGTTTAATGTAGTATTGCCTTTGCCTTGCTTGCTCGTCCATCATGCAAATTTGCGCTGTGTCGCGCTTGCCTTGCATAAGCGCGTTGCATGCCGGGTTGTCTAATTCAAGCGAGGACCCCTACAAACTTCGTGGATCTCTTTGCCTCCTCGGTGTGCAAGAACTCATGGTTATCAGCTTGGCGAATCTGTTGCTGCAGACGTCGTAGCCAGTTGTCCTGGGTTCGCGTCGCCACAGCTCTGTGACCCCTTGGACTCTTCCTTCGCACCCCACACCAACTCTTGCTCACGCACCGTGTGCGCCAACGCGTGAGTTCTTCTCAACGCCACCCGGTTGAGCCGAAAGAAAGGGCTGCAAAGGGAATCCAAGACTCGGGTGTCCTTTGGCCAAAGGTGTGCTTGTGTTGAAGTGACCAAACTTGGACTCAGCAAGTCAGAGAGTTGGACCTGGATTCCTGGATGCCAGGGAAGCCTTATAAGTCTCGCACCGTTGTAAGATCTTGGCCGTGTCGGGCCCAATGCTTCCAGCTACCGCTATAGCAACAAGATCAGCAGGAGAAACCTTTGTCTGTGCTGGTGCTCAGTCGGGAATGAGCCAGGGTTTGTCGGAATGAACCACAAAATCCATTAAAGGACCACCACAAAGGATGGCTTTTCTGGTGGTCATTCCAACTCATTCCCTGACTATCGAACCAGCAAGGTAATTACCACGAGGCCACGTTCAAACCGCGAACGACATGCACCACGACTCACACGTCCGGGCGCCCGGCTTCGGGCCCAAAATTCCTGTCTCCTGAGAGGCCAGAAAAGAACTGGCCTTGAGAATTGTCCGCTTCCTCTCACTTCCTTTGTGGACAGGCCAAGAAAAGTCTGAACTGGTTATTTCCCGCTGAAATGGTTACTCCAAAAGTTGCAAGTCCAAGGAACTCACGGAGTTCGATGAAAAGCAAACAAGATCCATCGACCCAATCCCAACCCAATCGTCATTCAACACGCACGCCAAACCCAAAGTTACTAATTATGGCAGCCTCACCAGTTTGAAAAGCCTTCCGACAGTGGCCTCCGTATCTCTCCCGACACAGCGGCGCCCCGCGAAGCAGCCAGGGGGGTCTAAATCAACCCTTGCCCAGCCTTACGCGGGGGGGGAAAACACACACACACACACACACACACCAAAAAAAAACACGGAAAACAACACAGAACACACAGAAACGATAATGAGGAAATATAAGGTTCTCATTGCAATCTGATTGAGCTCTACGAAGAAAACCCAGCAATGAGGTGTTACTGTGTGATGCCAAGCTAATGCTTGACAAAGGCCGAGCAAATGGATCTCTCAGCAACTGCTCAACCAAAAGCATACAACATATCAACAGTTGTCGCTTACCTTTAGCAATGCTCTGGTGCACAAATGAAAGCACAAGCGCTTCGTCACGCAAACGCAACACTATAGCATGGTGGCTACAGCTATAAAACAGATACTGCACAGAGCTATGCTGCTGGTATGAGCAACTGTCAGCAATTGCCGAATGAACTGATGCTGCACGAGCGGTGAACCATTACAGCACTAATGACTAGGCAAACAAGGCCAATCTCACGCCAACGTATTGATTGCTAGACTCGCGCTAGAGCAACATCGAATCGTCAACCAACACTGCCTGCCCGACATCAAACCATTGCTAGGCCGATACTCAACCATGTACTCCACCAAAGTTGACAGCAATAAAGCTGTCATTGCTGCGAAACTGCAGCGCACTTGCCCCGCTGTCACAACTAAAACTCATTCTCAAGTCACTGATCCGTGGTCAGTGGGTGCGAGCAGTCGCGCTCCTCTAGGTCTTGCACTGCCGCTAGCCTCGCGGCGACTCAGACCCAGTGCTTGCGGTGGATTTGGGCTGGCTATGGGCTGGTTGCCTGGTTTTACAAAGCCATCAACATATTGAAGGAAACACGTGACCTTTGGGCTTTTGGAGGGCTGTTGGTCCAATGGTGATCACGAACAGAGCTGTATGACCTTGGAAGATAAAGGCCACTTTGCAAAGAGGTCTACGCTCCGACCAAGGAATATGTCGGCAGAAAAGCAGATGCCCTCATTGCTTCACTGCAAACAACGGCTGGGCCATCTGCCTGAATTTCCTCCTCCTCCTCAGCACAGGTAGCAGCTCAGCACACAAATCTTCATTCAGCCAGCTCCATCCCGCGAGCATTGCCCAGGCGCTGCATAGGCACGATGCGGCTCGGGTTGACACATTTCTTGCGGCCGGATGTCCAACACGACTATGAGCAGCAGCACAGCTTGCCCTTGGAAACGCTTTGTTTCATGCTGTGGGCTTGCTTCCGAGACGTCAGCATGTGGATCCTTTGTTCCGGGTGCTGAGGCAAGAACCCACCCAACTGGACGGGTGCCCCCATTTAGAGATAAAAAACCCACTAGCTAACTGACTCCCCGCCGGGAAGTTGCCCTCCTCTGTCCCTGTAGCACAAGCGCCAGCATGAGCCCCACAACTGTTGGTCCCTATTAAAGTTCTCTGAGGTCGGCATGGCCACAAATCCAAGATTCTGCACCACTATATAAACCTACAAGATCTTGCCACAACTGAGCCATTGTTTTGGGTAACCTGCAACATTACAGCTTCTCACGCCATCCTGACTACGAAGACTGGGCTCTCCCCCGCCCCCCGCCCGGCCCCCCACCCGGGCGCTGGCCTTTTGGAGAAACCAAACAGCGCCGCACAGCAACTTCATCACTTTGTCCCGGCCCTGCGGACAGGGTTCCCTCTTCGCCTGCGAAGAGTTGCCATGGCCGAAAGTGCTGATGTGGACAGATAGTATTTCATATATACATATTATTGTAGAGAGAGAGAGAGAGCGCGAGAGACACGCACAGGAACAACATGCGCACATGTAGAGTGCACATGTACCATATGCTTGCGGTGCAGTGCTGCGCAGTGATGTGCATGCAGTGCCGTGGCGTGGCAAGGATTGATGGAGCGATGCCCAGAGAGCCTCGCGCCACATCTTTCGTTTGCCGTAAGCAGCCTGCAACTGTTGACAACGCTGCAGGGAAGGATCCATCTCATGATTTGTTAGTATCAACAAATACCAGCACCTTATGTGTGTTTGTGACATGCTTTTTTATTCTCTGTCGTTTCCGGTCGGTGATTTGGTCACAGCAGAACCGTGTGTCTCTCATGCTTGCCCTGTTCTGATGAGAGCAACTTGCCAGCAGCGACTGCTTCGGTAGAGGTGCATTCATTGCGGCCTTGGGGGATGTACTCTGATTAACTCACTGATACATGGCTGTCGGGGTTTGACTTTTTTCGACCCCCACTAGCGGGCTCCCAATTTTGAGATAGAGGTTGGTGGACGAAATCCATTCGCACCACCTGAGAAACCCTGGAATGATGATTCCCCTATAAACCCATGGGTTCAAAGTTGTGCAGGATTTTGTCCATCCACAGTATGGGTTGACGGACCTTGCATTCCAAAAGAAACATCTACAACCCACCAGCAAGGCGTCAGATGAGCGTCATATGTCAAGGAACATGAGGAACTCGGCCTGTCCCGGCAGATTGGGTCCTCCAGCCATGCCGTCCCTTGAAATGACCATCAACCATGCAAGTCACTGTCAAAACCAGGACGCTCTAAAATGATTGGTCCAAGGGCTTGCAAAGTCTTTGGTTCTCAAAATTGATTGTCTGGATTCCCAAACACAAAACAAACCGACTGGTTGGAAGTATTGGCAGTGTGGCCCGCACCCCTTGCCCTAGCCTGGCACGGGCGTCGTTGCTTCAAGGGCTGGGTCCTGTCTCCTGCAAGGGACAGATCCAAATACTGACCCCAAAACCGCCATTAGCAGGTCACTTGTCATTCTGGGGGGCCTGGGAACCGGACAAACAAGGACAAACATCTGGTTGGTACATGTTGGTAGGGGGAGTGTCCCATTTGCGAGCGGGACGCGCGAGGAGCCGCGCTGTGGCTAGGCGAGGGGCCTCTCAAAACATGTTGCGTGTAAAGTAAGTCAGTGCTGAGCGCATTTGCTTTTCATGTTGCTCATCTGAAGCTTCCAAAATGCGGCTAGTGGCACGGAGGGAATCTCCTGATCTGGTTTGCAAGACAGTACTGGGGAATTAATCTGCGGCGCTGTTGCGGCTAGTGCGTCTAGTAGATAGGCTGGTCCGCTGCACAATCCGCTCATCCGTCGGTGGGAGCTGCTGGGTGATCCGCTGATTAGCAATGCGGGACTCAGAAGGAAAAATCACACAGGAAGCTAGGGGTTCAACAAGACAGCTGAATGCATCAATTCAATTGCTTGGAAAACACCCTTTGCTTTCAGGGGGTCCTGCAATCAGTTCGTGACCTGGTGGGAATCAAACCAGGCAGAAATAGAGCAACCTCGCTTCGCGCTTTGCTTCCGGCACTCCTCTTCCAGCGTGTCCAGGAACTTCTGCAGAAGCTTGCATGCCTTGAGGGTGCGCGCCGGACTCAACATCTTTGAGATCTCTTTGACGAATATCGCTGAAACATACTATGTTAAAACCACCGGTGAAGGATGCCAATTTGCAGGCTGCAATCTTGAAAACGGGAAAAGCGTGTGTTTCCGTCCCATGCACGCAAAGCAAACGTCGCTATGCTGAAGTGTTGCCCTGCGATAGCCCAAACACCTTGGAGGTCTGTTCGACCCAAGTAGATACCATGATTCGACAGTAGTTCATATAACACAAACAAACTACAAACAAAGCTTTGTTGTCAAACTGTATGCCATGAGTGCATTGGTTGGGTGCCTATGGGTTCTGCGTCCAGTTGAGGTTGCCACGACGTGACATGCTTCCAAGTGCAATCGAGTGTTGCGCACGCACCTCCAGGCTGTCATGATCCATTGGTGGCGGGGACTAGAGCTCTTGCAGATCAGTGGAATATTTCAGTGCAACGTAAGATCAATCCAGACCATTTGTGCCGTCAAAATAACATAGGTAGCATTGGCTTCTGGGCCCTTGCAAACGAGGCAAGTCGACCGTGAAGGCCAAACTGCCACACCCAAGCCACCAACTACCCAGGGGCACCAGGGCACCACTACCTGTCTAAGCAGCTAGAAGGAACGGGAGCCATGGCCTGCATCATCCTCCATCTCTTGTTTCTACCCTCAACAACAAGTACAGACCGCCCCTCGTTGACTTCTTAAAGGGAAATTAACAGGACACCTACTTGGATGCCCCGCCAAGTTAGTAAGTTGTTGGTGACCTAGGTTGTAACCCACAGCCTTATTAGCGGGTATGCTTCCCAGGTGGCGTTTTCTGCTTAACTTAGCGAACATCCAAGTGCAGACCCTCCTAATTCCTCCAGTAGGGAGGTTAACCTAAGGGTACCTTTATTTTTTCTGTAGTCTATGTTAGTAGGGAACCCTCCCCCAAAAAAGGGGAGAGAAGGGCACCACTGGGGGACCTCGCCCCTTTTTCCGAACCTTTTGGCAAAACCAAAAGTTGACATCGCCTCAAGCTGCGCGTCCCGCTGCCCGCGCTTCCAGGGCCTCGAGCATCTCTTCCCAACAGTCGGTGGGTTTCCCAGAAGCCATCCAATGGATTGGGCAGGAAATTCTTCAGAAAAACAGCTGAGTTGCGGTGTTTGGGCCATGTCCGGTAGAGTTTCTTGTAAAACCCTTTGAATCCAGACTGTGGATGGGCGAAATTCTGCACCTAAGAAGCCCCTGCAAATAACAAACAATGGCTTCTCATAGTTTCAAAGTGGTGCGAAATGGGCTTCGTCCATCCAGAGTGTCCTAGAAAACCCTCCAACCACAGCTTTGCCCATGTCGAAGACCCCAAGTGCTGTCCAGAAAGCAGTCGTTGGGGGGTTCCCGCGAGCCAGCGAGGGTGTCCATATCTTTTGCGAAGTCTCATCTTGCCAGCAACAATTACAAGTGCATGGTTGATTCTGGCTCATATCTCGTAAACCTTAAAATGTAAAACTCATTTCAGCAGACGTTGGCAAGCCACTCAGCAAAACACAACTCTATCGAGGAACCCTCGGATGAAAAATCATGGGTCAGGGCTGGCGCGTTCGCAGATTCGGGATGGGACACTTCTACATCTGCCTTGCTTGCCGAGCCCACCTCAACGCAAATCATGATCGCCCATGGTGAATGCTATCCTGAAACATGATCCAAGCGCTATCCCCCAAACGAAGAAACACAGTTGGGGCCCAGCCCCCCATGTTCAAAAACGATTGCTCCGACAACCTCCCGCTGACCGACACGGTTCGACCACTCCGTGGGCTGATTTGACCAATTCTTCCGGGCTTCCGCGCCCGGTGAAGGTCTTTTGCGCCACGGCCACCGTCACCGTGGCCCGCTGCAGCGGTGGCCAGTTCTCGTCCTTGGCGTCGGTCTCGTAGGACCACTCCCAGACGCCTGGCGGGGTGGGTGGGCTTAGAGCCGGCCACATTTTTGGGTGGGCTTAGGGTGGGCTTTAGAAGGTGGGTTTAGGCTGGGTTTGGGTTTCGGCTTAATGAGTTTGGGATTCAGGGGCGTGGGGTTGGCTTGACCCTGTCATCTTGTTACCCACACATGGAACATGGGGAAGGGCCACCGGGCATCCTCCCCGTTCCCTAGATTCCATATCACTTTCTTCCAGATTACTTACACCGGAAAGTAGATGGTGCAAGTATCTTGGTAAGCAAACGGGTGAGACCAAGATGGTGTTGAATCTTGTCATCCACTTCTGGGATGATGGAAAGTTGGTTTCAGACCTGGATATATGCCAACCAACTGGATATCTCAGCTATATCACCAGGGTTATAACCCGCCTGGGTTGAACATCCAAGTTTCACGCAACTCCATTCCCCTGACCTCCCCTGACCCCTTTTCGCCTTGGCCCGGCTTCAGGCGCTTTGCAAAGCTCTGCTGCAGGCGGTTCTGCAGCCGCATTACTGCGGTCTTCCGCTCTGCCGCCTGCACCTCACTTCCGAACCAAGAAGCTTAGCATTATCATGCTACGCGAACATTGATGTATGTACACATGTTCAACTATGTATATCATGTACACGTATCTGAACATATATGCATTTGCAGGCAGTATGTATATGCGTACACATGTTTCAACAACATGTTTGCTGTCCATCCTGCTCGTACCACCTTGGCATAACAACAGACATCACATTCAGGGTACGCACACAAAGTAAACTTCGCGAGCACAGCCAGCCGTAGAGGTGGCAGGCAAGTCTTAGCGGCTGACAGGCTCATTGTGCTTCTCCAAGGGAAAATGAGAAAGCGGTCTGCGTCATGTTAGATTGTGAATTACATGTGTCCTTCGGCTTGCTATGACCTTTGCCTCTTGGTGGGCATTGTCGCAATCGAGGAATTACATCCACTTGATCCCGAGTTTGCCTTGCCGACAATGGAGGGGGACTGATAATTTCCGATTAAGGATGATTGGTAGAAAAGAGAGGGGATTGACCTTTCTTTCCGGCTCCCTGAATTTGCGGTCCAAGAGGGACTGGCAAGTGACCTGAACAAATCGGATATGGGACTGCCCTCGAAAATAGAGCGAATATGAAACGAATCAAGCGTGGCTCCTAACCTTTCTACATGCAAATCCTGAATCACAAGTACATGAGCAACGTTGCACAGCAACACTTGAGCAACGTTGCACAGCAACACTCGGTGCCCGCCCCGCGCGGCTTTAGCTTGGCACAAGGTTTGCGATGTTGAGTAATTATGCGCTTGAAGACATGATGCGTGCCATGGTCAACCATCCTTGCGCGGCACATGGCCATAATTCCCCTAATACAAAACCTCTACAATGGTTGTCTCAACTCCAGCCTCCATGCCTGACCACCCCAATCAAACGAGGTCTTTTGACAATGGTCAACGCGTTGTCTCTAAACAACGCACATATTGTGCAGTTCTGGCGGGCGCATTCTATGCAGCATGCTCTGAGATACCCAAGAAGTGGGAGATCATCCAAACACGACTCGCAGGACTCGTGTATCTGGTCAGTCAGGCTCCTCCACACACAACTAGGAGCTGGACGGACTCATCATCCTCAGCTACGTTGACCTGAGTGCCACTGTGCGCCCGTGGCCCACTTCAATATATTTGGATTTCGACAATTGTTATTACAGCCTAAGCACACCGCCCGCCTTTCAGTCTTCCCCAAGCTGTGTTTGGTGGGTCCCCAAAGGTGAAAAGCACGAGCTTCCTTCGGCAAGCGAGCCGCGACACCCAAAAGGAAGAAATCGGAGTGAGCTTTGCAAAAGGCACCCACTTCAGGTTTCATTTTGAGAGTCCCCCTATTTTTGGCGCATACACTCAATCAATCGGGAGCTTGTTCTCTTCACAGGGCCTCAAGGACTGCTCCCCGCAGCTTAACATCGAACCCTCAGAAATCAGCATTTTGTTTAACAGGAACCTCCTTTTGTGGGACCCCTTGTCTGGGTCATCAACATGACCTAAGGTGGCTTCAAGCAAAGTTGATGAGCCAAAGGGTGAATTGGCAACCAAAAAGTCGGTGATAGACCACCCCAGCGACATCTACTTGGACCCCAAAAGCAAATCCAACGCACCCTGCATCTCAGCAGCCCAATTCACCGGAGGTGACGGAATCTCCTCGCACAAGGCGATAGTTGATGCGAAAGGCGATGGAGCTGCCTTACTAGTTACTTCACTGGGTGAATTGTAGTTGTTCACCTTCTGACAAAAGTGTCTATAAAGTGTCTGCTTCTCCTTTCTCTTCCTCTGCCCGTGTGCCTTGGTGCTTGCTTCCTGCCTGCATTCACACACATACATCAACTGAATCGGTGTTGGACTTGAATCGGTTAAGTTTCGAAGGGCGGCCTAATGCTTCGTGCCAGAGTATGCTTTGCAACAGCAGTGTCAGTGCATTGTCAGCAACTCGCTTGGCTTAACTAGCTTTGACGGCAAAGCCTCAACAGCGATTTGCACCCTTCAAACGCTTGGCATTGATAGGAAAGAAACAACCAACCCAAAAAGCCAACACACAACAGGGATTCACCAAAAGAGAGGAGGGCCGGGGATTCTGCAATGGGCTACGGTGGGGCCTTGCTGTGAGTGCCGCCTGTCTGACTCAAAGCCCTAGATCTGGAAGCACACGTATGCCGCAGGCTGTACACTGAGGACAGCCAGCTTTTGGCAAACAAAACCCAAGCCACAAGGAAGCAACACCCTCCAGCTTGGGAAACAGGCAAGAACTCGCGCGGCCGATTTTCTGTCTTTGTAACAGAAAATTGGTGGGCTGAGGACTTCTTGTTTTGGAGGGCAACTGACCAACAGCCGGAAAGAACCAACTCCGTGGTTTCGCGACCCGAAGCACAAAAACCTAGCGGCCTTCGCCACCATCAAGCCCTGCACATCCGGCTCGAAGAGGTTTTCATAGCCGGGGCACTGGAGGTACCATAGCACACCTGAGAATTGGGAAATGGCCGAAGCTCCCGTGAGTGACCGCCCACCCCTACGGCATGTGGGTAGTCTTTTGAGTTCTGGAACCCAAACTCCTTTAAACCAGCTCCAGAATTTCCCCAAAGACACACAAACACAAGCGAAACACACAACAAACACCCCGAAACAAAACACAGGCACACAACACACACATGTCCCCGTGTCATTGTCCCCGGTGGATTGGATCGAGCCACGCTTCGCCGTGTCCGCTTTGGCTTCGTACAAATCATCTGCCGGAGAGCCAGCAAAGCGGTGCCTCGCCAAAAGTCTGTCAAGCCCCTGTTTGAAGGGAGGAGAGGAGCTCAGATATCCACCTGAACTACTCCCTGGCGGTTTCTCTTTGGCGGAAAAGGTGAGGTTTTGAACGACTTTTAAGGATGGGAAAACGAAGAGGGCACACAATCGGTTGCCCGAACCCATCTTTGCTTGGAGCAGTCCTATTCAATGGCCGTATATAGCCACAAAGCAGGGGTTTGCCTGAAAGTAGGGAAAGGTGGCCGAACAATTAATCTATAGTATAGGTACTCAGACAATGTGGTGGGGACTGTCATGTAGGGTGTCACTTGAGGCCTTCTCCAACATTTTTATTCAACGACATCTCATGCCTTCTCAGTCAGGATCGCGGGTGTTTGGGATGCAAAGCAAAAGCAAAAGGGGAACCAATCCTTGGGAGCTCCCTAATTCGAGGCAGGTCCAAATGTGCCATGGTCAGAACTCCACTCGAACATGCTTCATGGCTTCCTGAGCAGGACCCCAAATTGTCTTCTGAAGTTTGAATCAAAGGCGCTTTGTTGTTCTGGGAAGTTTCTTCAACAACTCGAAAAGGGAAATGCGGAATCCCAAAGAAACACCTTCATCAGTGGTGGTGAGCTCCTAGCAACGGGCAAAGCCCATCTACCATTTGGGCCAGATTGATTGGACTGGTGTCGGGTACTCTAAAGCAACCAAATTGCCGACAATTGAGTCATTGTGTAAGACATTAGCCCTGCATATTACCCCGCCTCACGCCAAGCAAAGTCATCTCGGCTGTCGCTTTGACCTGGCCAGCCTCGCGGCGCAGAGCAACAGCCAAGAGAAGCTGGGACATTAGGGGGCTTGCAACTCGAGTAGTTCGAGAAAATGAGCATGCCCCAACCTTTGCGTTTGACCCTTGTTGCTGGTTTGTAAAGTAAAACCGAATCTTAGTTTTTCGGGTCCGCAGTGCCAGACCAACCCAGGCAGAGCTGGCTCGCAAACAAGCAAATAATCAGGCCACGAGTACCTGCTGGTCAGTTGGGCAGCATTTCGCAGTCTAAGTTTTCCAAGGCTATGCAAGGCTGTTGCACAGCCTTCATTTTGAACTCGTGAATCTCACATTGTCCAACTGATTCGGTCCAGCGGCAAGAGCCCCATCGCGTCTGGGATACGCTGCCTCTGCTAGAAGCTACGTGCAGCTGCTCCCTTTCACGCGTGGGAACGATTGGAACCCAGCAAAACTCATGTGCTTAAACACACATTTACAAGTTTCAGAACGTATAGGTATGACTCAAAAACTGGGACTTCTCATTGATTCAACAGAAACCACATGTGTGGAGCGATGCATGATCTTCACCAAACACGCGACGGCAGCATGGCCGGTTGCCTGCCCTTTGCACTTCATAATGCCAGGATGAATGAAACCCTGGCCGATTGACGTTGGTGTCCCGTCTTAGCGGGATTCCTTTGATTCGTTCGACGAACCATCCCTACTGTGGATGGACAAAATCCTGCACCTCTTGGAAACCATGATGAAATGATTGTTTGTTGGTATTTGCAGGGGAATCATCATTCCATGGTTTCTTAGGTGGTGCTGGATTTCGTCCATCAACAGTATTTATCACGTGACGATGGGTCAACATGGCGACCACCAGCGTCCCCCCGCCTCCATGTCAATGCACCAGGTAGGGCCTTGTCCATTGCACGGCCGGAATAGCATGCAAAACCTGGCGGGTGCGATTTATGGCCCCCCCGCTCAGGAAGCTGAACAAATCCAAGCAACAGATCCTCGTTCCACATAGCTTGTCGAAATCGCGATGTGACTTGTTTCACATAGCTTGTCCGAATCCATGACTTGTTTCACATAGCTTCTCCAAATCGGCGACCTGCGCGGAAACACGCGGCCACTTGCCCAAGAATTTGGAGAACCCTTTGTAAGGCAAACACATTGCTCTCGAACCGGGTGCCTCCCTTTGCACATGACGCAAGAGGCAACCAGTGCCTGTTTCTCAAGTGGACATGGACGGACAGATTGCAGTTCTGATGGCTGCGACTCAACTTCAGGTTCTTTGTCGGTTTCAAGTTTGTGAGGCCGTCTGATCACATCCGCTCGCAGAATATCATGGCTCTGTCCCCATGCGATTCTCCCTCAAGACCCGGCCTTCGCTAGGCAGAGTGCGATCAAAACACCCAGAATGTTGGGATCTTCCAGGGCACATGGAACATTGGAATCCCTTGTACTTTGGATTCGATAGATGTTGACTCCCCAGCAAAATGGCGAATGGCATCTTTGAAGGCTCGGGCACAAAGCCAGGACAGTTTCCTGCAACGTCAATTTGCCTTCTTAGTGGGAAAGCCAAGGGGCAAGCTGGAATGGGCCGCTTCCTTTGGTCTAAACCTACACTAGCACAGTAATCTTGCTGGTGCTTAGTAGGGAATGTGGGAATGAACCCAGAAGCCCCCCTAAAGGAAACCACGAGGGATGGTTTAACATGTGGTTCATTCCCGCATTCCCTGCCTATCGCACCAGCAAACAATAGAACACACAGGTGGCGACGACCAGCCGATTTTCCCCGACTGAACCAGTTGCCAGCCCGAGTTCAGGCTCACACCGAAGGGACTAGCCCTATGAATCTTCCAGGGCTCGGGGCTTGCGACGAGTTTGCGTAAGGGATGGTTCCCCGAGGAAACTGGTTCACACTAGGATCTCTCGGATTGCTCCCCTACAACTTAAGATGGAACCCACAAGTCCGCTAGCAATGAGAGTTGCTTATGTTTGATGTTCAGAAGTGCCCCCAGGCTTTGGTTTTGCAAACCCCAGGGTTCCGATTCATCCGAAGCTTCTCTGAAGTTGTCTTTTGCCAGGGCACTTCTGCAGACTCGCCACCGGATCCTCCAGGAGATCGGCTTTGAGATCGCCCTCTGTGGTCTGCAAGAGGTAGGCACCCCAGCAGCCGACAAAGAGGCCTGCTGGGGCAAGAGCTGGAGTGGGGTGAACGCCCTGCATGGTATGGAAACCGGGCAGGTTGATTTTGAGGAGAAACGCACACATAGAAACAATCGCCGCCATACAACAAGTCCATGTGGACCGACATGGCTGTGTCTTTTTTGGTGCGCCCCGCAAAATGGCTTCAGTTTTCCTGGTGTTTCCCTCCAACCAAAAAGGGTACTGTCTTGAAACCAACCAAAAAGAGTACCTACCCTCAGAAAAAAAGGGACCTCCTCAGAAGGTTGGGTTTTCTACTGGAAGAAAACAAACACTTTCACATGGACCGATTTTCTGCCCATCGATTTTGAGCCGAAAAATCGATCTTCGCCTAGGCAGCGCTCCGCGGTGTCCCTCTGGGCCAGCTTCTTGGACTGCTGCCAAGAGCCCGCCACGTGGTGTGGCACGCCGTCCAGTAGGAAAGTGACCTCCGTACCGTACATATGGCCCATGGGTCAAAATCCCGTACCCCCAGTGAACATCCCAATCACCGCTAACATCCCGACTAACATGGGTGGTGCACCTACCCCAACATGGTACCATTGGTTTTGACCCACAGCCATATCTCGAACCAAACGGATGTGGAGTTTGTCGAAAAGGAGACCCACACAAGGGGTGGTGCTGGTGTTGGCGTCCCTGTATAGCATCCACCAAAATAGGGCACCCTCCAAAAAAGACACACCCATGCGAGCCAATTGTCATGGAAAGTTTGGGCTCGTCCACTCGCTTGTGGGAAATTCTGCGAGTTCCCGCATGTCTCTCCCAACTGGGGCATAGCTCTGGTGGGTGTTCTTTTGCAGGGTACCCTGTTAAACAGCTATTCTGTCAAACACCCTACCCTACCAAGACCAAGTAACGGGGTGTTCTGAACACAGAACCTATGAATACCCCGCACTGCCCAGCAGGCTACAAAGGGATAGGGACCTGCCCAAATCACTATCCTGTAATTTGTCTTGTTGCGTGAGAATGCCGAACACATTCATATTGCGACAAGAAGCTGATAAGGGCCCTTCAAAGCTGGATCGCAAGTACAAGCCGCATAGCGGCCCCTTCGGTAGAGTCAGATACCGCCCAATCTGCAAAGCCAACAGGGGACCACCAAAAACCGGTCCAGTAGTCTTGTCCTCTCGCCAACAGCTGCCTGTCACAACCAAGGGTGTGTTTCACCAGTGTAACTCCCAGCTCCAAACTATACACCTCCATATAAGGAAAGCTTGGCATGTAGCCACAAAGCCGGTGAATAATTGGGCTGGGTCAGTGGCCAACATTCGCCCTGACCGGGGGGGCCTAGAGTACGGGGGTCGTATGAATCCTCTGAACAACACAAGCATAGAGCTTCCCCGACTAGTGCAGGGCCCAAAACATCAAAGTGAGAACGCGGTCTGTGCAACCAACACTAGCCATAATTCGGGGTAGCACATTAATCAGGTTGACCCTTTCTTACAAGAGATGTGCTCTTTCCAGGCAGTTTGAGCATCAACTTGTGCTCGTGGAAATGTCGCACTTGCACGTAGGAGGGCCATCCCACAAATCACACGAATGTCAAAACGACGGCCAAACATGGTTGATTGCCTAAACGTCGCAAGTAAATCAGCCATGTCGGCTTCATCTCCCTCGTCTTTACAAGGCTGCATTCTTCAGCAGCACGACAGCCACTTCCAACCCAAGCCAACATGGACCCACAAACGGACCTGGACTTGGGCACTGGGTTGTCTGCCAGATGTGTGCGGGTGTAAAACAAATCCGGCGTCCCAGTTGCTCACAGTGATGAACTTGAAAGACTTGGAGTTGTTTCGCTGTTGACAAGCTGCTCACAGAAAGTCATACTCTGACACTAACCATTTTCCATAACAACGTACTAACAAAAGCAACATTACAATCCTCGTGCCTCACAGGACAATCACTCACGGCCCCCCCCACCCCCGGCAGGAAGGGAGGTGTCCAGTGTTCAAACTTCACATCACCGGAGCCTAAAACAAACGCGGGCTTGAGGAATCTCACCATGTATACTGCTTCTTGCTGGTGCTCAGTAGGGAATGAGAGAATGAACCCAGGGTCCCCTTAAAGGAAACCATAGGGATGGTTTATGGGTGTCATTCCCTCGTTCCCTGCTGAGCACCAGAAAGGCTTCCACCCCAAAGACTTTCGTTCACGCCTGGCAAAGCTGTCCCCAAAGCTTCCCCGCGCCTGGGCGCGGAACTCGAGGTTCGTGTTATCAGCCATGTGGGTGTCAAAAGTCCACCTGGGCCACGTGGCGTCGGGCGAGGAGTTGTAAAATTGCTGTCCGGTGGTTTACACCGGGATACCTAGACCACTGGAGAATCGATGCTTCATATTTCTTACCAGCCTGGCAAGCTCCTCAAATCTGGCGGTCACAAGTCTGGCTCGCTCCAGCTACATTTCAAGCTCTTCATTCAACTCGAGGCTTGCTTCGCGGCTTGCTTCTGTCAAAAAGCATCTGTGTCAAATGAACATCTGGTTGCTTGCTTGCCTGTTCTCCACGCATGGATTTTGCGGGAAGCTGTCCCGGCAAAAACTCATTGTTATCGCAGCCTGTCGAATCGCGTTCCTGAGACAATCAATATCTGCTTGTGTGAGAACAATTGCTTGGTAAGAATTGCAATTCACTGGTCAAGAACGAGGGTGCAACGCCACACCTTTGCAAGATCGCCGTAGTTTGCCCAGAACTGGATGCTAAGTGCAAGGTTCTATAATACACCAAATGGCATACCAACCAAGCTGGCTATGCTATGCTTCGTCCACATTGAAGTATGTAGAGTCTCTGCGCCCTGAGGCCTGCTGGACATTAGCATTGTCCTTAGCCCATGTTTGCACAATAATTTTCAGAAGACACGACGACCGTATACAGTGATTAGAGAGTGACAAGTATTGCACCGCATAACAAAACATCTTGATGCAACGCTTATGAGCCATGCATGAAACGCCTTGGCCATCAAGTCAGTGCTGCACACGCACTGAACGAACCTGTAGGCCCCAGCAAATACAGTGTCTCAAAAACACTGGCACCCCACTGTTCATGATTGGTCTGCTTTTGTTGCCAATGTGAAAGGGCACACGCGGAGCATCTCACAATGTCGAGGCAGCACGTCGTGTTTTTAGGTATCAACCAGTATTTGCCCGGGGCTCATCAATCAGGCTTCAAACATTCCCCAACTCAGTAGAACTCAGTTGATCATTGACTGAGTCACTCATTTGGCCGTCATTGGAGATCTTTCGTAGGGAAATCCTTTTTGGATGTGTTTGAAGCAACACCAATTTTGAGGGTATCCTTTTCAGGTTGGTGTTCAATGAAAGCGACAAGCAATAGTCTCATCTTGGGGTCTCCTTCTGACACATACCCATTTTCAGGGTCCCACCTAAACCCCCCCCCCCGCCAACGGCCCCTCTCAGCGAGGCGCTGTAGGATGGGCCGGTGCTGCGGCGTGGGGAAGCTCTTGGAGCACTGTACAAACTCCTGGTGAGGTCATGACTGGAATAGGCTCATGACTTCCATGCAGACTGACCGGCCCTCCAAAACTTCAAAGAAACAAATCCTCAGGGGCCCGTGGAAAAAACCAGTGTTGAGGAAAAAACAACAATTCCTCAGGGGCCCTGGGAAAACAAAAAGTGTTGAGGGCCCAAAAGCAATTGGGACCCCCTATGTTATTCTTTGTTGTTGGTTTGTCGAGCTAAGGCAATGCCTGAGAGTTGGGGGCATTCGTATTTAACGGAGAATTGCTCAGATACCAGGCCAGGTAAGGATCCTGCCTGTTTAGCTCTCAGTTTCCGATGGTAAGGCTTGTGAGAGAAGCACCTCTATTTGGGTCGTCTGATATCCTCAAAAGGGAATTCAAAGGGAGATAATATTTTTTTGGGGAGGCACACACCCAAATGGTTGTCAAGATGTGGCATGTTTGACTCGGTGCCGCCTTGTGCCATCTTTTCAAGGGGATACTGAAACGGCCCCCCGAAATGTCTGTTCGAAAAAAACAGCTTTGACAGGAACCCGTTTTACCCTCAGGTGCCCAAACAATACATACCACTCTCGAACGTAGAGTCACGCCTGCTAGCACACTTGGACAATCACCCTGCCAACTATACTTCGGTTCTAACCATGGCTAAATGAATGATCCAGAGGTTGGTGGACAAAACAACGTGGGTATGGCCTGCCCATTAGATGGCTGACCATCCAAGGCATGTCATCCGCCACCGGAGTGATTGCAGCAAGCATGTAGGTGGTGTGCAGAGTGAACCCAAGGATTCGCTATGCAAGGCAAGGGTTTCCTTGGCCAGCTCATGGCGGTTCCTGCTTATCAACCTGACATCTGATATTAGTATCATGTTTTTTCAGCCAGGAAGGGGTTCAAACATGAGTCCAGAAGGGTGTTTCTCCAAGCAGAGTCCCGCTCAAAATGACTTGTTTCCTCTAGGTGCCGCTTTAAAGTCATCGGAAAGGGGTGTACCATTTTGAGAAGCCCATCTCTGCTGGACCCCCCCGGTCCTGAAGCAGAGAAATCACACCTCTACCAGAAGCCTGGCCCGGCCATCGAAAGAAAGGCATTCAAAATTGCGGTTTTGGGCGAACACGAAGTAGCCCAGGGAATCAAAGAGGTACACGTAATCCACGAAGTACCAAAAGAACCCAGTCTCAACGCACAATGGAAAAGGTGCTGATGACCTGGTTGTGGGAGTGACAGTTGAAGAAGATCAGGTTTGGGGAGGTTAGAAATGGGGTTGCAAAACAGTAGTTTGAGGGACAGGCCCAAGAACACCTCGACGGCCCACCGAACACCTCCTACCCCCAAAGCGCCGCGGCACCACAAAGCCTTTTGCGGTGACGAAGAGCGATGCCAGGATATGGCGTTCGCGCGCGAGTCCGAGGGGAACTTGACGGGAGTTCCCAAAAACTTGAGCCAAACGGCCATTCGGCCGTTTTGCCACATGATGAAACAACACGTGAACAAAACACACGCCCCTCATCCGATATCTGGACGAGAGAAAGGATGCGAGACAGTTGAGTTCACGACGAAAGGGACCAACCAAAAATGCCGGTGTCAACTCAGAGGTGAGCCAAACGGCATCACCTGGGCCCCAGTTAAAATCCCGCCACCACCCCGAATTATCGGGGCGACAGGATTATTTGACGAGTGGACCACATGAGTGAACAAAGACATATTGGAGGAACCAGACGAAGATTCCTCTCGTGCCGTTCATGCGTTGTCATGGGACGACACCATGCGGAGGGGGACCCTATCTGGATCACCGCGCCTCACTGCACGCCGTGGAGTGGTTGGAAGAGTAGTCGAGTTGGGAGGAAATTAGAAACGGAAGTTCCGAAATTGGTGTGAAAATATCCGGCTACGGCCGGCCCGGCACTTCTAGTGCGGTCACAGCCTCACACAGGATCGCCAGGGGAACCGTCTCCGGCGCGCACGGCAGCGGT